TACCCAATATCGGAGGCCTTGGTGTGAAAATGACCGGTTTCGTTTGAAGGATAACCTTTTGTGATAACCTTTTAACCGTTTATGAATAGATGTGATTATCGTTTAATTTTTGCGTATAACCGTTTGAAACCATTATGTAAATATATTGGCAGAGCAGATAAGCTCCAGCTTTGCAAGTTTGCCCGCAAGGTTTCACTTTGAAGACATTTACATCGATTCGTCAGGTAAAAGCTATATCTGGACAGTGGTTCATCGGCTTACGTATTTATTTGCTTCTTTGGCTTTCAGGATTATGGAATTGAGTATCTTCAAAATAACAACGAAATGGCCAAAAAGAGTGATGTCATATTAGCATGCGTCAAACCAAATGTAATTCTGTCCGCTCTGAGCGAAATCGCCAAAGAGCTAGATAGCAAATTGGTCGTTTCTGTGGCTGCAGGCATCACATTGGAACAGATGAAACAGGTTGGTGATAAACTGTGGAACTTTCTACTGACTGAAATTACATTAGTTTATTGTTATCAATCTGTTATATTTATGTGAGAAAAGATAGGTTTTCTTGACCATATCTTATCAGTAGGGCGAGTTTTCAACATGCACTCAACTACTAACGAAAATTTTAAAATGTCTTGGTAACTCATTGAATATTTCGAAATGAAATTCGATTTAGTTTTCCTGTTGTCACTGTCGAATTAGAGTTTAAATCTTCATTGCTGAGTTCTCATAATTCTACGCGGTTAATAAACGAGTGATACTGTTTGCACTGAGTACGGTGAATAAAAATGCTTCATTTCCACCGCTACTGCGATAGTCAATTTTTGTAGACTACTATCGCACTGGCATTATGTTTAAATCCATGCCGCCTGAATTCTATGTCATGAATCATCTAGCAGGTCGACAGTTTTGCGCTTTCTGCCTTAAAATTAAGTGCATACTCCTTAAGTAAAAGAAAGTAAAAATATCAACATTACGGCAATTCCTAAGAGGAATGAACCAACTGTCTGATGCTGTGTATTCGTTATTTGAATTATAACAGTATGTTTTGAATAAAGTATCTATGATGGTACTCGTGTTTGAGTGCGTTTGGTGAACTTCAGCTGGCTAATATTGTATTGTATTGTGTATAACTTTTGCAAGCAATGGAGCTCACATTTGTGGAAACATTTATAGAAACTTGTCAAATAAATGGGTTAAGCAGGCAAAAATGAAGCATTCAAAGTTTGAAAATAAAAGTTACTCACCGCCTGACTACTATGCCATTTTGTACAGAAAAGTGAGAAGAAAATAACTGAATTTTCAAATGGAGATTTTTTTGCTGTTGTTGTCTTCTGTCTCAGTTTTACAAACCGGATATACTTGATCTTACCATCGGATCGTACACTTGGTCCGTGTTACTTATGTGATTTGGTTTAGGATGGGGAGAGGATGGGAAAGAGGTTGAGTGACTTCATAAATTGTTTTGGGGTGCATAAGGGAGGATTATGTAGACGAATTCCAACCGCCTCCGCAGTGTATAGGATTCTATTTTTAATGGGCTTAGATCGGCGACCTCGAACAGGGTAGAGAAGCCGAAGTATTTCATTCACACTCATTGTGTGATCGGATTTGACGAGGTGTGAAACAATGCCACTTGTAATAGGTTTAGTTACACCAGTGTTCAGCCACGCCGGATGATGTTTCCGAACTGTTGTAGATGGACACCTGCTCGTTNGGCCAATATACGTTGCTCCACAGAACCACGTGAACAGGTACACGCATAATGAGACAACCGAAGCAGGAGTATTGTCCTTGAACTGTGAACATAGGATCGGTCTGGATGTGAATACTACATGTAATTTTGCCGCATCGAAAATATTCTCCAACGCAGTTCTTTGTTTACGGCTAACCAACTCCGCGATTGCGGCCCATTCGAATGGGTGAGAGATGTATACCGACTTCTCTGCGTTTAAAAGTCTATCCTTTGGACGATTATTTCATACAACGTTATCCACAAAACGTTCTGGATAACCGTTTTGTCGGAAAAATCCCGGATGAATGATAGTTCAATATTTATGGTGTCGTCAGTGCACATTTTCATCGCCTTATTTACCAAGCACTGAGTCGGATTTCTTTTGCGCTTGAGTATTTCAGTGCCCTTTATGCGTAAAAAATTTAAATTTAAATTTTGAAAAATTAAAAACGCCGTTATTCACTTATGGGGGGGGGGAAATGAACTTCCCTTATCCACATTTAAGCGGCTCTGCTCTGTTAAGCCTAGCAGAATGCAATGCAGACACTTCAGTGCACGTTCAAATGACCAAAAGCGGGAAGCTTTTCACCAATTTTGCCCTGTGATATTCATGTGCGGTATTCCAAACAGAGCGCCACTCACTGTTATCATTCAAGTCACCTCAAGAAATAAAAAGATTGAGATTAAAAAACTGTAGAAACTGAGAAAATATGTGCTTTGAAATTTCGGTATCTACTAAGTGCACTATTTGACTCGACGAAGGTCATCGGATCCGAGCTCAAAGGCTTCCAATGGAAGTTCTAGTGAAGAATAAAGCAACTGTTCGGTGCTCTTTATTGATCATTGCAACGTCGTTCGCTGGTATACACTACTTTATTCAAAACTCCTTTTAGGATTTATAAGATTGAATCTTAAAGCAATTGACACGTTTTGATTTGATTCACGTTTTACAGGGTAAGTATTCCACCGACGAGCAGAACGCTATCCATGTTCGGTTTTTCACCAATCTTTACCGATTCGGATAATCGCATTCCGTTTTAGGTTGTGCCAAAAACCACTCGCCTTGTTCGCATCATGCCAAATACACCATGCCTTGTTCAGGCAGGCACAGCTATATTCTCCCGTGGTGCTACAGTGACGAACGAAGACATTGCCATGACCACTTCTCTGTGTTCGAGCATTTTCAATGTTTTCGAAGAAATTCCCGAATCATTGATCAATGCAGCCTCGGGGATCTCTGGTTGTGGACCGGCCTATGTGAGTTTCCTTCGGTTACAATTTCCCAATTCATTGATTTCCTCGGGTGAGTTAAAATGTTATGGGTTTCATGAAAGAAGAACAATATTTGTGCTCGTTAATACATCGTTTTCACAAAGTAGCTGAGTATTGGGATTGCGCCCGGTTTTACACCGGAAGTTAGATCTATCAAATACTGGAGTGAGCTGGCAAACTCGATCAGCAAATGGAGTTTCGTTTAGTTTGCGGTATTGAAATGAATGCAGGAATGGGGTGTTCATCACCTCCCTGCGAGGAAAATGTTCAGTGAGATCGAATAACGCGCGTGAACGCAAGCTCCTTGGAGGACGGGTGAATCGATATTTGTGTTTGTATCCCGTGACAGAAATCTACCATTCATAGATTACGATGGTTTGACCGATTGAAAACTCACGTTCGTACAGATCACAATACGCCATTAAGAGTAACAACATATAGCTGTGGTGATGCGGCAAGGAGGAGTGGAATGCTAACTACTAAATGAACGCACCTCCAAATTGTTTTACCAGCGACAGAAACAGAAATACTCGAACTCACTTTCTCTTAAGCACATTACATCCTGTTCATTTTAGGTTTCAGTTTGTTCATTATTGATGCATAGCCTCACTGATGA